AATGGCCTAGCGCTCTCGACAGTTGCTCATTGTTTCGTCATTCAAGCCATCCATCGGGGTGTTGGTCATGTCAAACTCAATAAATTTTAGTGCATATGCCCTGCAATCAGCATTACAATAGGAGGAAGACATTAGCATTAAAATTAGCTTATAGAACAATTGTATTATGTAAGTTTTATACAAAATTTACCTTGAGTCATTTGTCGAGATGGGAAGGCGCTTGAGTGGCCACTTTCCCGTCAGTAGTTCATCACCCAAGTGCTGAAACATCCCGCTGTCGCGTAACAGCCACGAGAACAATATACACAATGGCTACAACTCCGTCTACAATTGTCTCTCTCGACAAATAGTTGGGTTGCAGTCAAGGATCTGCAACAAGCCCTCCTCTAGTAGCGTAACGACGGTTATCCAATGCATATCCTTGATGTTCATGATACAGTATACTCTTTTAATGTTTGCCTAACTGTTGCCATGTTTGGGCCTTTCCCCCCGTACACGCTGCATCATCCTATCATCAAACTGAAAATTATCAAGGACACCATTGAAGTCATCTGTGGCCAATCTTTTCCATTAGCCTCCCCTTGTTGCACTTCTACCATTGGCCTTTTTCATTAAAGTGTCATATGTAGTTACTAGCATTTGGCCAAAGGCCACATCGGTGATGGCACAGTGCGAATACAAAATATCACCATTATTGCTCTGTCGTAGCCTCATAAGTGCCAATACCTCATTGATGTGTTGCATCAAATAAAAACAACATGATAAGTATACAATACCTCATGGAAAACATAAGCAAAAATAAGGGAAAATAACTTATCGAGTCATCGAGCCACATGCCTATCGTCAACATCTTTTCAAACCACTCTCGAGGATAATCCCCGGTCTTGCACTTCACATGCCCATCACTTCCAGAATCATTGTAATAGGCATAAAATTTTTTTTTTTCTTTTCCTCATCTATTGGCCTATACAAATCGACCTTTAACTCCTCCGTTTTCACTTGCCCACTTCCTTTGCCTTTCTCCTCCATTTTCACTTCCCTACTTCCTTCTCGTCCCGCCTCACCCTCCTGCATTTTCACTTCCCCACTTCCTCTTTACCCTCCATTTTTGCTTCTCCACTTTCATAGACTTCCTCATTTTTTTTCTTCGTTTTCCTCTTCTTTCCATATGTTATTGTCGTATAAGGAGAAATTACGTGCTTACTCTTTCGACTCTCTCTTTTATGCTTAGGTTGCACTTCAACCACTTTCAATACTCTACCACCTTTCTCCGCCACCCTATCAACTTTCTCCTCCACCATTTTCATCCGCTCTTCCATCTTCTCAAACCTCTCATAAAAGGCTATTGTAAAACTCTCAAACAGACCCTTTATGAGGTCAACCACCTCATTCTCTCGACCTCGATGCCTCAGCAAAGCGGTACTTGTTGTACTAGTTTGCCAATTGGGTGGAGGCGTACTAACCTCTTCATCCTCCTCACCCTCCTCCCTCCCGCCGATTGGAGCTTTATCATCCTCAGCGTCAACAACATTCTCAAGTAAGCCTTGCAACTGCACTCACATGAGTGACCCCTTCTAGGTCCCGCATTAGGCAGTCTATCGCTTCATCTGCTTCATCCTCCAATGCTTTGAACGATGTAACATACTCCTCTCCTGCTTCGCCCCTAGTAGCTGTAAGGAAGGGACATACTACTCCCTGCAATAAGAAAACAATCAATCAAATTTAAGTCACATTTAAAAGCAAGTGCATATTCAAAAGATTAATCCTTTAATCTTACCTAAGCCACTTGGATTTCCATGTCTATTTTGTCGTAATCCCAATGGGTACACTTCTCGATGTGCCACCATAACATCCTAGGAAATTACGGTTGCTCATCCGAAATCTTCATCCTCCCCCCCGCCTTAGCCAAGATAGGGATGACCTCATACATCCAAGCCTACATTGTAAAAAAATAGTCAATATCATAACTAAAACACATATAATACAAAAAAATATAACAAAAAGCTATTAATATTTACTTGCATTGCCCATGGGAAGCCAAAAAAATTGTACGTGCTCGGTCTATTTTTCTTGACAGATTGATGATGCTTTAACGCCATGTCTTTTCCTTGCAAGGAGTCCATGGTTAGCTGAAATGATACCTGTCCCCACGGATAAGCATTAAAGAAGTCCATGTTGCTTGCAAACTTCACCCAATCCATATTAACTGCTTTTGCTGAGTAAGAAGCCATTAGGATCAAATGCACGAACCATACCAAGCACATCTTGAACCTATCTGAAGAGGTATACCCAACTTCTCCTAACCTTTCTTCTAAATCACGTCCCGTAATAGACGCCCCCCCCCCCCCCCCCCCCCCCCCCCTTCCCCCCCACCCCAAACCTTTTTAGCCAAGTTATCAACTGCCATACTCTTCTTTATTTTCTCTTGCTCTTCCACATCTGGAAATGCCCCGCATCTGGAAATGTCCCACATCTTAAGCCTGTCATCAGGTCATATTCCAACATCCCAAAATGTAGTTTCTTCCCATCCACCACGAACCACATTTCATTTTTTTTTTTTTTGGCTTTTAACTGTGTGCAGCAACATATAATGCACTCTCTACCCCCAAAACGCCTTTATCCAATTTTCTCCGATGTTCACAAAATGACCGAAACAACTTTCTTTGAATCGGTCCATACCCTTCTTTTGTTCTTGTAAAATCTCCATTATTCTCGTAAAAACTTGCCAATTCAACCTAACTGTCACCAGTATGGGAAAGTATGGTACCTTATCGCTTACAACCTCCAACCTATAGTCTTTATAATTTACGCTTTGGAAAATCTGCACAATCGATATAAACTAAGTAGTAGCAAAAAAAAAAGAAACCAAAACAACTAATAGGCTGCCAATTTGGGGGATATGAGCTTCAAGGGCATCGAGGAGTGGGTGTTTTTGGCCTTGAGAGGACTGGGGAAGCCAATGCAAGCCCTACAAAGACTGTTGTGGCAGGTTCCATGAGGTTGGAGGGCTGAGGATGACAAGAGGTGGCAGAATAAGGGATGCAGGGCAGCCCTCTAGCCCCCCTATTCCACCACCTCCTGCCATCCCTAGCCCTCCAACCTCCCACAAACAATCTCCCTACGGCCTCCCTTACCTTTCCCCATCCTCTAGAACTCAAACAAAGCTACTCCCTCGATGCCCGCCAACTGCTCGACAAAACGCCACAACCACCATAACAATAAAACCAACTACATATCCCCCAAATTCGCACAAATCAATCAAATTTCTTATCAAATTCAAAACAACAAGTAAAAAACATACCATTTCTTCATCGGCGTCCTCCTCCTCGCCTGAATTCTCGCCGGCGTCCTCCTCTTCAGAACAGTTTTCTAATTCTTCTCTCTGTTCTTGTGCTGCAGTTTTCTCCTCTGCCTCTGGACCATCTTCACTCATCGGATGATCCACCAGAGCGTTTTCTTCGACAGCCTTTGAACTGCCGCCGTTGCCAGAGTCTAGGATTTGGAGTGGGGTTGAGTTTCCTCCTCTTTGTGAATATCAGCCATGATTTTGTATAAGGAAGCTTTAGGATCGAATATTTGCCAGAAATAGGGCACTTTCGTCGCCGAAAATGGCAAAAAAATCAAAGGTGTTCGTCGGTCCTTTTTTTGGGTATTTGGCTCGATTAAGCGATTTTGAAGGGTGGGGATCTTTTTTAATTTTCAAAATTTAAACAATCTTCCGTTAATTATAATATTATCCACATATATTTACATCTTTTCAGTTGAACCCATTTTACATGTTTAATGAATCATAAATGTGCCACGTCAGTTTTTCTAAATTAAAAAAAATTGCAAAATATTTTTAGGGTCATTTTTTTAAATGCAAACTTGGGAGGTCTGGCCAGTTAAATTTCCTCGTAGATATCTTTCAATTTGTTCACAGATAGTGACCAACACGATTCAAAGCAAATCTTTTATTTGACATAAAAAACTAAATCAGATTATAATACTTAATTATCAAGTAAAGAATCTGAGGCATGACAGTGATCCATTTCACCATTTGTTCCCAGGTTTCAGTCTCAAATTGCTAGGTGTTAAAGCAAATTGGAGATCAACCAAAACGGCAAGTTAAACCCACTGAAAGCGTGACCTCTTTCACTCAACTCAACCTCTACCAACATCAAAATATAAACCAATGTAACAAACTGCTGTACAGATGAAGTACTAACCTTACACTAATTCACTGCACCAACAACTTAAAAGTTGATTCATTTTAAATCATTCTCCAGTGCCCCTGTAATGCAATATGCATATTGCCAAGCACAGTTTAGTATATGTGTACACTTCAAACATTCAAAATTGATTAAAAAATCTCAAGGGATAATTGGAACAAATTCCAACATAAGCTGTAACAACCATATATTGAGAGAATCCAGTGCTGAAATAAATGCAGGAAACTAAACTTTTTAAAGCTTTCTTTATTGTGAGGTGGTATGTCAACTTTCTGAATAAGTGGAAAAAACTGTGGGCTTGACAATATGCATTTTGAGACATCTGATGCTCTACTGCAATACGGTTCTATAAAATACAACAGCAATGAAATTGAATACACAGAATTGCCAAAGATATCTTGCACAGTCCCATACTGAGTAACCAGAATTCAGTGGACAGAGAGAAGAAGAATAAGAAGACCACCTAGAAAACTCATGCATCCAATTCTATACCAATCAAAATTTCAGCACGTCAATTAACAATCGCGCTTGGATGAATCAACAATGATTCCTACTAATAAATCTCAAAGAGTCAAATAATATTGTTTATAGGCTCCAACAGAAATCATGTACTTTTTAACATAAGCATAGAGACATAAATCAGAAAATCAGATGTTTTAACTAGGAAAGGTGAACAATACAACATTTCATTTAGCATACAAAAGAGAACTAGCTACTTTGTAATGCTAAAGAATGTCTCAAGAATAATTTAATCTATAATGATAATTTAATTTGCTATTAATTCAGTACCCAACATAATACAAAATAAATGACAAGGTATAAAGAATTAAATATTGCCCACAAACCAAAACAGTGTAGGAGCTACAAAACTGGATGATTGCATCCTAACTTATCTTAATAATGCTCAGTTGTATTATATCTAGTGTGGTTTTGGTACATAACCATCTACAGCAAAGTTTCGAGTGGCAGCAGGAACGGCCAAGCAAATTCCATCAAGTTCAGGCCTCGCAATTATTTGACATCCCAGACGAGACCTGAAAAATGAAACCATAAAATTCAATAAAAGTTTAATACCAAAAACTTACTACTTGCACACTCATACTGTAAGAACTCACATCGCAGTAAGCCCCAAAGCCAGATCCAACATGTCATTTTCCTCATCAGTCGGGTCTCAAGTATTGTATTGCTCCACCCTAAAACAAAATAAAGGTCATATAAACAGACAACATATTCTTCAAATTTCTCCACAAAAAAAAAAAAAAAAAGAAAAAAAATCAATGAGAAATTTGCTTTAACATGTTAACTAAAAATCATACCATAACATTACATGACACGTTGAGCATGCAAGCGAGCCTTCACATGCTCCTGAAAAGAACAAGTACATATTAAAGTTAAGCCTATGATGAGAAAATAATCAGTCCATGTTATGATACTGGAACAGCCAAGTCAATTGGTTCCAATATTCCAAAAACAAAGGTAAAAAAAAAAATAATAATAATAAACCCTCCATGATCCCAAAAAAAAAAAAAAAAAAAAGAAGACAATTTATGGTTGAGAAAATTTGATCAGAGGATACTTTAAGTAGAAATACTATCTCACAGACAACAATGACAACAGAAAAAAAAAAAAAAAAAAAAAAAAAAAAAAAAAAAAAAAAAAAAAAAAAAAAAAAAAAAAAACAGGTGCAAAACACTGGACTTAAGAAGCATCAATTCTTGCCTTCAAGTTCTATATCATTCTCATGTGCCGCTTCTAACATGGACATTCCAACAGGAACCTTAATGTTCTTTTCCTCTCCATCCTTAGCAACAAATGTCACTCTTATCCTGCATAAAAGAGCCTCTGGGTGATGAGAAAGAAGCAAATTATCTAAAATTCAAATTCAAACTACAAGTAATGTAAAGCTGTTAATTAAGGATGATTGGCATTCCATCTGACCATCCCCAGAAGAAAGCAAGATATTTCCTTTAAGTAGAGTTTCCAATTTAGTACTCGACAGTACAACATCTATATTGCATGAAGACCATAAAAACATATCATATCCAAACCCCAAAATTAACAAAGAACAAATCTGCTCTTCATTCCAGTACAGCTACTGCATAGCACATACTAAGTTAACTCTTTAAGCAATAAATTTAGTATAAGAGACACAAAAAAATCAAATGATAATCTCAAACTGTTCTTGGAAGATTCTTAATCCATTTGCTATTTTAATTCGTCAATCATGAAAGCTTTAATTTCAAATGAAATAGCTTACATGTCTTCCTGTTCATTGCTTTCATCTCTAGCATCGTTAGCAGCTGTGGTAGAAAAATGAAGATATTTCTGAAATATGGAACCTTGGAACACCTTAGTTTCTGACTGTAATGAAAACTGCTCCCACCAAAAAATAAAAGAGGAAGTTACATACAAATTGAAGACAAGATTAGCCAATTGAGTTGAAGGTCATTCTATCTATTATAAACCTTAAAGATAGACAAACTTAAACAAATTACAAATTTCACTGGCAACTCAAATTGTAACTACTGCGTATTCTTTTTGATTAACCAATGTATAAATTAATCTCTTCAACAAAATTAAGCTTATTGATTGCCCCTAAAACTCCAATAACCAATTCAATACTTGGAGCCATAAAAAATGCAAATCTATTAAGTTACAAGACTGACATTTCGCTTGAATTTTTACCGAAAGTTCAATACTGAGCATTCTGCAATTCCTTTAGTACTTACTAGATAGTGCCTAATCAGGTTGGAAACTCTGAAACCTTTGATATAAAAGTCAAAGAACAGCTTCAGTGTCGTCCTGTTCAAGTTCCTTGCTAAAGCCTAAAGGACTTTATCTCTTATCTTTCTATCTTCCTTGAGGTCATGAAAAGTGACATTGATATATGTTACTTTTAAAGATCTATCAAAGGGAGAATAATTCAGAAGCCAGAACAGATAATATTGTTTCAAGTAGAAGCTAACTAGACACCACATTGGAAAGTTTGTTTTGTTTTAATATTTTTATGCACGGTCAGAATATTTTGTTTTCACTTCAACTAGACGAGACAATTCNTTGAGGTCATGAAAAGTGACATTGGTATATGTTACTTTTAAAGATCCATCAAAGGGAGAATAATTCAGAAGCCAGAACACATAATATTGTTTCAAGTAGAAGCTAACTAGACACCACATTGTAAAGTCTTTCTGTTTTAATATTTTTATGCACGGTCAGAATATTTTGTTTTCCCTTCGACTAGATAAGACAATTCCAGAATTTATTTTCATTTTGAACTACACAATTCTAAATTAATTACTCTGCACAATGCAAAAAACATAAGTTTATGATGGCCACTACCATATATTTATTTCATTTGTTTAGACTGTGAGTATTTCAGTAGTAGTTATGAAAAAAATGGATAAAGTAATAAATAATCACAAAGCCATCTCTAGTCATTCGTGTGAAGACAAGGTGTACACCAACCTACTTCTTATAGGTAATAATTAAAAAAATGAGGCTAACATGTAATCATTGAAACAAAGATCACTAACCAAAGGTCGCCATTGTTGACTTGTACATCCTGTTCGAGATACACATGAATAACTATCTGCCAAGAAGGAAGCACATGAGAGTGAACCAATAAAAAACAAATCCTTTTCCTCATATTTTCTTATTCCTCTAAATTTAAAAGAAAGCAACAAACTTAAGCTATTAAAACCTAATTTAAGTAAACACATGTGCATGTGCCAAAAAATCAAAATGCTGATTTAATCCACATAAATCGAAACTAGAAACAGTAGACATACGTACCTTTTGAGAGCTCTTTGACCATCCACGCTCCAGCTCTCAAAAGCCTAGGAATTAACATCACCGTTGCAGCCCAATAATTCCTATTTTATATCGATATATCAATAATTAACCAAACATCCAATACTGGTAATAAAATAAAATCAAGGTACTATAATATGTCAAATCAAACGAGGCCTCTTATATTGAAATGAAGCATCTACCATCTGAACTACATCCCTTTTATGATGAATGAAGAGGTACGAAAAAGAGATTATCGGATCCATAACAAAGGTAGAATTAAGATAATGAACTCCCTAAGTGCACCTACCAGAAGTCGATTTCAACTCTTATCTAATTTGCAGTCGCCAACAATGACAACAAGCATCACCCCTAATAACCTATTTCCAAAACCTATCAATTTCTGGTTTTGAGAGGAACATGGTCCAATCATAGACCCTAATTACACTTTGTTTAGCCGGAATTTCAGTTTCTAAAACAGAATACCTTGTCAGTTCAAAACGCAAGTTTTTCAAACTGCATTGCTATTAATGTTTTCAATCTATTAGGTTTAGCATTATCTGTATCACCATCGAAATGTTGTTCAAGCACAATTATCATGTTGTTTAATATTGGAATCTAATCCACCAAGCAAGCGAATCAAACCAATAAGACAAAACAGATGCAATAACATAACTGTAACATGAAAATCAAGAAAAACCCAAAAGAGAAAACTGAGAAACAGAGCAACTAGAGAGTAGAATGCACCCAAAATGATCCAAAGCAACCGCAAAAGATAGTGTGAGTACTTCCGGCAAGGAAAACGACAGAGATTGAAGGCTTCCGATAGGGTTTTATAGACAGCGAAGCCTGGGTTGGAAGAAAGAGAAGGTTTTTAGTATGAGTAGGAGAGCGGAGCTTGAGAATGAGAAATGGAAGGTGGCTGCAACAAGAAGGAAAGATGTAGAAGGCTGGTAGATGCGTTCGGGCCGAAAAAGAAAAGGCTCAGTCCATGGTGGGCCTGGGAATCCAGCCCACTAAAACCTTCACGATATCTTTATGATTCACATATTTGCTAAGTGGCCTGATCCTACTTTCTAAGTGAACCCATTATGATTGTTCGTACAATTTTATATTTAATTTTGTACATACTTCTTTACAATCTCTCACAGTATAAAAACATTTCTCATATTCTAAACTATATTTGATTCCAAAATTAATTTAATTTACCTTTACTTTTTTTTTTTTTTCAATAAATATAACTTCTGTAGATTCATAATGAAATCATACTCTAATAATAAATAACTAAATATTAAGTAGAATTTTTTAGTGGGGACTTGTTTAAATAGCATTTAAGTTTTCTTTTAGTATATAAAGAGAATAAGGGTATTCATATAATATGACACAATTTATAAACAGCTAGATCAATGTATTTTGAGTTGCATAATTAATACACATTATAAATTCCCTAATTCAATGCAATCTCAATCATTGAAATTTATCAATATTGGATAAGGGGTACACCCATGATGGGTTACCCCAAGCGACGTGTGTGAGAGAAACTGCCAAATGCAGTTTCTCTCTAACCGCTGCCATATAAAAGGAAAACCTTTCCTTTTAGAAAAAGTATGAACACTGTTATTCAAAGAAAAACGCAAGGAAAAGTACGCTCTCTCTCTCTAAAAAAATTTTGGAAAACAGAAAACGATTCGTGGCTTTCTTCCAGATTAACTTTATTGCTTCAGAGTTAAGGAGTGAAGGTATTTATGCTGTGTAAATTCATTGTAGTTCATTTATGTAAAAATGTGATTGCAATGGTGACTATGATCTTGGGATTATGTTAGGATATATGTTATTCTATATAATTTCCAACAATCAATTTGACGATTTATAAATTATGTTAAAATTTGTGTAAAACAAGTAGTACACCGAAGCTTTCCCAATTTTAAAATAATAACATTATCTTGACAATTTGAGCTTTGCTCCATATAAAATTGATAAAGAAATCTATATCTTTTTATTAAGTTAATAGTAATAACTATATTTATTAAAAATATGAAAATCCAAATGAATTGAAATAAAAGACCATTGAAAATTAGAAGTTACTAATGAGTAATTTATATTATAAAATTTTTTAAGAAGATAATATATATTTATTTAATAGATTCATATCAATACTGTTAGGATTTGATATTTGCAGAAGAAATATTTGATTGATTAATTACGATTAATGAGGAAAAAAACGAAATGAATACGACCTTTGAGCCATGTTTGAAGTACTTTCTTTTTGTTTACTCATCTTATGAGTAATGTTAACTTTACTCCCGTTCTTACTCTCTTACGTGGCAGCTTACATGACAGATTCACCTTATCTATCACGTCATCCACCACGCCTCTTCCCCTATAATTAAAAAAAAAAAAATAAAAAAAATTAAACCCTAAATTTCAAAATTTAGAGGGAACCCAAAAAAGAAAATGATAATTCATTTTATGTTTTCCCCCTAAATCAGTTTAACCCTAATTTCAATTTTGAAAAACCATAGCCTTAACCTTCCAATCTCAGCCACCATCATGAATCCAAAAATAAGTCACACGAAGATCACAGACGAAGCAAGGGGTGAAGAAATGTTAAATTCTCATCACAGACAAATACAGACGGTGAATGGCGATGGTGAAGACAAGCAGCGGTTAGGTGAGTGGCAGATTTATTTGCACTCATTTCCATTCGCTTGTTCTTTTCTTCCTTTCTTGTTGGTTTCAATGGTCGTTTCAAAATGCTTTGGTTGTAGAAGCTACCATGAACAGATGTCAATTAAAGAGACTGCATGTTAAATGTTTGTGTTAATGTTCAATTTGAGTGAAGGGTAGCTGGTGTCAAAGTTTTGTTTGTGTATTTTAGTAATGGGTTTTGATTACACGCTAATTGTTTTTGGTAATGTCCAGCCATCTGCAACGGCGACCACCACTGAGCTCAGCCACCTTTTAATCAAGCACTCCCTTCCACTGAAGAGGACAAGCTTGTGTGTGAGAAGCCTCATGAGGGTGTTGCTGCTTCAACCCAAAATGTAACTGTCAGTCTAGTTCGCAAGGTGCATACTTTATGTTTCTGCTTTGTTCTCATATTCATTTTGTTTGAGTAAACTGTGTTTCTTTGCAAAAATTTGGATTAATATATATGAAACCAGTATTTGGAATTATTAATCACCACTTCCAATAATTCAGCACTAAACTTAGTCAGAAATCACAAATGTAATGTACAGGAAATGAGAAATAGATTAGAGTTCAATGGGAAATTTTGTCAATGTATCTCATATCTAATACACAAATATTAATAAGGAACTGGTATGCCCCTAGATGGATGGGACCAACTCATTCTATGAGTGTTGATTGCTTGGATGTTCCAGAAGTGTTAAGGTGTCCTATTTCTGGAGAGATTATGGTTGACCCTATTGTTTTGGCTAATGGCCAGCTCAGTTCTTGCACCATTTTTTCTTAATTTTGGTTGTTAATATTTGGGTATGTTTACTTTTTATTTTGTTGAACCATGTGTGGGGTAGTGGTTATGGATTGTTAAGTGTTCAATACCTTTGAAAAATTATTCTTCTTTGGAATTTTGTTATATGAGGTTTGGATTTTGCAGAACTGTTGTACTGAATTTGAAACTTTTTTCTGTGTTAGAAGTCTCAAATTTTTAAGGACTACAGCACTGTAATGATTTACAATTTTTACTTTGTGAAATTCGGAAAGTTGCTTGGGTCTGACTTCTGAGAGTTCTTTGTGGATTTCCTTTTTGATATAATTTAAGCACTATTTTGTTGGTAGATAGCCAAACTTTGATGTAGGAATTTGAATGTTAGGTAGGAATTTTTGTTGCTGCTCTGTCATCAGATTTGTTTATGACTTTGATTTAGCTCTATTATCTACTTGTTATGATTTATTGGTGCTATAGTCTAATTTGGTCCAATATTTTATTAATGATAGACTGATATCATGCTTCAGGAAACTTTTCGATAGAAAGGAGTAACCAGCAAGAAGAAGAGTAAAAAATGGGACAAAGAGAAAGCTGCTTCTTCAAAGTGGAATAATTATGAAATTTTTAATCAGGATTGTTATGAAATGTTGACTACTGAGGAAGAGATATCTGTAAATGATTTCATGTATAGCAAGAGAAATCATTTCATTGCAGAGGAGACTATAGCTATTTGTTATTGTTGACAAAGTTTGATGTTATATAGACGACACAATTTATGATTTAATGTGATACATTCAATAGGAAATATGATTTATCTGGTATCCTTTTAATCACAATTGCTTTGTTTTATGGAATGGATGCAAAGACTTGCAACACTTATTTACTACTGGTGCTTCAAACCTCCCATTGGAAGCAATTGTGAATTCACAAGATTTGTGTTAGTATTGGCAAAATCAGTTACAAGTATCATCCATATTGGTTATGGTGATTCTTATTGATTAAGGTAGAAATTGATACCTAAAGTCTGCCCAACTTTTTTTAGGAACGGGTGTGCGTATATGTTACATTTTAATAAATAAAGTGAACTGTCTTAATATGCATTTTTAAGGTACATATTAAAACAATCCAAAGAACTTGTCAAACATTCTACTTGCCTTCTGATACCTTCCAAATCATACTTTTTATGCTATTGAAATGGTGATAAAACACTTAGAACAAGATTGTGAAAACTGATAAAAGAAAAGGTGAACTATCTTAATATGCATTTTAAAGGTACATATTAAAATACATCCAAGAGAGCATTGTATGTCAAAGTCATCCAAGAATGAAATAGAAGCTCAATGTTGCATTAAATTAAAGAAAATATATTGAAGTAAATTATATAATACCTGTACAGAACAAGACTCTAAGCTTTGTTTTTGTATGGGTTGCATTATAAAAAATCAGAGTGCACAACATACATTACAGTAGGAAGAACAATCAAAGATATACAATCCTTGTACTGTTATACACAAAAGATATACAAGCAACAAGCAAAATATTGCATTTTCTGCAAAACAACTATAGAAAATGCAGCAATCTAGTTGTAACAACAGGAAAGGAAAAAAATTGCAGAAACGTCATATTTCCAGTAGTGTTTTAACTTTCTAGCACAAATGTAGCAGAAAAACCAGTATCACTACCATCAAAATCAACAAGCCCCAGCAACACTCTAGCAAACTTCTGCTGTTGCAAGAATATTTGTTGACATCTGCCTTAAAACTGCAGCACCATACAAATCTGCATTCTCCTAACAATGTCCAATACCAGATTTCAACTTCCATACAAGCACACAAAAAATGCAGGATTTGGGTGTTGAAACTCCAACAAGCCCCAACATCATTCCCAGTAAACGAAACACTACAGAAACTACACAGTGCATTCAAAACCTTCAAACAATGTAAAAACCAACAATTTGACTAAAATGCTGACAAATTGCTCTTTCACGATGCATAAGAAGTGTATAAGGTATAACCAAGCCAAGCTACAATGTCCAATCCAAAACAATGTAACATAAGCAAGAACCAAGACCCTTGGACATGCCCAAGGGACAAAGCAGCACATAAAGATCCAAGATCAACAAAGGATACACAACCCTTACACACAAAAACAGAACAACCATACTTCAGTATCACTTCATTACTTGCACTGATCTAAAACAAATATTTAAATATTTACTTTCATATTATAGTATGCAAGTTTCAAACATAAAACCTTGGTCAAAAGGGGCTTTTAGTTTATGGAAATAAAGTATGAGAGAAGATGCTTAATGAGACAATAAAAAACAGCTAAACTAACCTAAAACAAATATCTAAATATTTACTTTCATATTATAGTAACAGAAATAGGCTAATAAAAGCAGCAGAATCTATGTCCATGTCCATCCCATGAAATGGTTTATGTATAAGTTGTCAATGCCCAAAAATTTGCCATGCAATGTTAAATAAAACCACCTACTCGGTCTATACTAATAAAGCTCTAATTGTTTTCCATAAATTCTTGATTTCAATTCACTGAAGGTAACATCTAGAGATTGGTCTCAGTCCATCCAAGGGCATACCAGTTACTTATTAATATTTGTGTATTAGACATAAAATACATTGACAACATTTCTCATTGAACTCTAATCTATTTCTCATTTCTTGTACTGTTGTACATTAGCTCATCATAATATCATGTCACAATAGAATAGTAATATAACAAGGGAAAAAAAAATAGTATATCAGTGTCATTTTATATCATTTGAGAATGATACAATTGCGGAAACAGGTTAAATTGAGAATTTAAGTGCTGTTAATTACAACATCCAAAACGACATTTATGTTATGGGATTTAAAAAAAAATATATGAAAAATTACATTTATCATTCTATAAAAATAAGACTTTAGAAACAAATATTCGTTTCCAATACAGCAACTGAAAACTTGCAAATGTCTTCCTTCCCTCTTATGCCCTTATTTTCACATCCTAATTGAAAACTTTATTTAGCACAGGCAATGGTCAAAATTATGAGTTGGCTGGTTAGCAGTTTATTGATTAAAATTAAGGAGATAATCGTAAATAATGGAATAATCCCTTAAATTGTTTTGCAAATAGATTAATATAAATAAATAAAGTATGCTTATTTTATTTAATTGTGGAGACGAAATGAAGAAAAGCAGCAAAATATGGGCCGGGCCGGGCCTACCGAGATTCGCATGAGGGAGTAAGGACACCTTAATTATAACGACACGTATAAAGTTGAGCTAATCCATCGCTATAAATTCGGTTTTCTGCCATTAATCTTCTTATAACAGATTTATTATTTTTCATAATTTCTTTATCTATTTTATTAATTTTAATTGAAAACCGTTGGTTGTTTGATATAGATAAATATAAAAAACAGACTCCTCCGACAGTTTCGGTGTGACTAATTTTGCTGTGATAATCAATTGGAGTATAAAACAAAACAGTTCCTTTATTTCCGAATTTACGCTTTGCGATTAGATTAGTCTTTACTTGTAATTTTTTTGAAAGAAAATCTCAATCTCTCCTTGGAGAGCTCGCTTCTGTGTTCAGATTTCGAAGCTCCAATGGTGTTTCGTCTCTGTCTTCGCAGCTGACTCTCTGTCAGGTACTATTTAATGTTGTGATGCGAATTCTTCTTTTGTTTTGAATGAATATTTTGGATCCGAAATGGTGGAGATCTAAACGATATTACCCTGATATCTGATTCTGAGTTTATAAGCTCTTTTGTTTTATATTATATGTGTAAATGGAAGCCCATAATTTATTTGAAAGTGACATGTTTGTCTTCATATTAAAAGTTTTAACATTTTTATAATAATTTGTGGGGCATATATTGAAATGCAGGAAATTTGAAAATTCTTTTAATTTTCTTTTTTTAATTTCACTACTGCAGATAAATTATTTGGAATTATATGAAAGAAATCTATTATTGATCATTGAAATAAGATAGAAATATAATTTCTTTGAAATTAGCAGAGAGTTTTGGGATAAACAAAATTTAAACCTTAGATAAAATTTCAGGAAAAAGATTTATCGGATTAAATTGGTAAATAATTCAGTGAAAAAAGAGATAGATATAAGGGAATTTTTTTACTGTAAAATTATCTTGGATTGACTCAGCCTGTGAATCTTTAATAGAAAGGATTGACTGGGGTAAATTTTTGAGATTTTATGATTCGTTAGTTTAAACTAAAGCTGTGTTTTTATGTGTATGTGTAGTGGAAGGTCTGATGAGACTTTGTCTGCAATCAAACACTCTGAATTGAATCCTAGGTTTCATTTCACTGTTGTGGTTAAACATTTAGCAATGAATGACCATGGTGGCGCCAAGTTGACAGGAATACGACAGATTGTTAAGCTGAAGGAAATCCTCCAAAAGTGGCAATCTGTTACTCTTAGCCCCAAGTCAAGCAACTCTCATTCTAGTCCAAGTGGTGGGGAAATTTCACCGGCAATTAATAAAATGCTGACAAATGTTATGTATTGTGATTCAGATGAGGATAGCTGCCATAGCCCTGAACCACCACCTGATGTTCCTAAAGGCTATTTGGCGGTTTACGTGGGGCTGGAGCTTCGGAGGTTTATAATTCCCACCAGCTATCTTAGCCACTCTGTGTTTAAGCTTCTCTTGGAGAAGGCTGAAGAAGAGTTTGGGTTTGATCATTGTGGTGGCCTCACAATTCCTTGTGAGATCGAGACCTTCAAGTATCTCCTGAAGTGCATAGAGAATCATCAGAAGGATCACCATGATGATAGCTCAGGTAGCTTTTCTTTTATCATGTTCCTAATGTTTTATTGTTGTTGAGACTTTGTTTGAAAGTTTATTTCATAACATTAATCACTAACTAAACTTTACCGACACCTTAGAAGTACATTCTTTTTCAAAGTTTCACTACCTTATAAGTTTGAATATGAGGGGCCATTGTGGAGGTCTGAATGAAGGGTCCGCTTAAATGGGTTAGTCTGGTTGAGAATGGATATATAAGATAGGTGTATGGACTACATGGAGTAGAATCTTGGATTCTGTATTAGTATGATTAGAAGAAAGTGGGCAATTCTTTGTTTCATTTGCATGACTGCAAACAATATGAAGTTTAACAAATACATATTATCTTTAGAAATAAGTCAAAAGTCATTGCTCATTGTCTTTGCTTTCAAATGGCTCCTTGTTTTGGTTATAATTACACTAATTCAGCATTATTTAGGTGAGCTTTATTGCATACGTTGTTTGCTTTTATTGCTGTCATCTGTTTTTAACTTGAAGTAAAGTTTCTTTGGTGATTTCGCAGCTGCAGAATCACTAACCGTTGAAGAATAAGCAAATTATGCTGGCCTTTGTAGTGGGCAAGATTTAGGGCTGATTTTTATGGTGTAAAGCATAGTCTCCATGTATTCAGATATTCCCCCTTTAATTTTCATTTCTTCTCTCTGTAAGTGAAGCAATAGGAAACTTTTAGTTAGAAAATATGCAGTGTGCTATTGGTAGAGGTAACCTCTGTATTGGTGAATGTGACCTGAATCGAATGTTTAATTGAGTAAGAAGCACATTTACTGTTCCAGAAAAGAGTGGAATTAAACCTTAGTACAACCTTAGCATATGCGGTTGTTATGGAATGTACCGAGATTTACCTTGTATCTTAAGTTTGAAATTAGTCTCCATGTTTGGTTCTCAGGATACTCTACTTTTGAGTGTCCACGTCATGGTTGAACGCTAGAATAATAAAACATATAAATTCAAATGTAGAGGTATCAAATGTGGTTTTCCTTTTCCATGCTATCAAGAAATACTTTTTTCATTCTATTAGATGTGTTGAGGGCATTAATTCTTAATGTTGATCAAGTTTGGAAAATCTATTTTACCACATTAGAATCATGTCTATATATTGCACATTTCTTTTTCTATTTATCTTATTAATGAATAAAATGTAGTTATATATGTATTATATTTATTTTATCTAAATGTCAATTTTGGAAAATTTTTTTTTTTAATTTATTCATTTGTGATAATTTTATCATACCAACATATGATAAGACTCTGCAACGTAGATGCTGTGTTCTCTTATGTTGACTAGTAAATAGTAATATCTAGTTTAAGCTAAAGGTTCCTACGAGTTGTTTGTTCAATCTCTATTCTTCATTATTATATTTTTGTGACCAAAGATATCTGTGACATATATATTACCCCTCCGTGTCAATATAAATGACGTTTTAAGTTTCTACATAACTTTTAATGAAACAATTTCATGTCTCTCTAATTTGACTTTTTCTTCTGATTTTGCGGGTAGGAAAAACTTTGTTTTTTCCGTTGCACACATAAGAGCATCTTCAATGGGGCAGTATTTGAAGAGTATCTTCATTAATTTTAAATATAAGAATACAATTTTTATTCAAATCCAATAGACTTTTTAAATTTAATAAGATGCTTTATTTTTAAGAAAAAACTTAATGGGAGAGAATAATAATAATAAAATACATAGGAATTTGTAGTTTATTAATTAAAATTAAGATAGAGATTGAAATTTGACTCTCTAAATGTGAAGAGTAAACTCACTCTTTAATGTATATTTTAAAGATAAAGAGTCTGTTGGACTATTTTTTATGGATAAACTCTTTATAATAAAGAGTTTGAGTCATATAAAAGTCATTTGGAGATGCTCTTAATGAATTATTTAAATAATTTAACATAATATATATATATATATATTATATTATATAATATATATATATATATATATATATAATATATATTAATAAAACCTCTTCATAGTTATATGGTGTGATAATAATTTTATTATTATGAGGAGGTTATAATTTAATAGAGGTTTGGTAACAAACATTTATTTATAATTCATGTTTTAATATTACAGTATTAGGATTTCAATTAAGTTTGATACTATTAAGATTTCAATTCAACGCTTTAATTGCTTATTTTGAAACGGACAGAAGATCGTATCTTGAAACTAGCAAAGATAAGGGTCATTGATGGAATTGTAAATGCAATTACTGCATGGTGCAAATTGATGTGAAGCCAAAACTATTGCCAATTATTTTAATCATTACAAAATTATGTAGCAAATGATGTGAAACCACTATTGCCTATGTTTTTAATCATTAGAAAATTATGTAGCAAATTGATGTGAACCACATATTATTGCTAATTGTTTTAATCATTATCAAATAGGATCTCCAATGGCGACGAATTGCAAGTTACAAATGAAGTGGATGAGGAGAATCAAAGAGTCATTATAGATTTAGTGAAGATTCGACAACTTCATTACACTAATCAATGGATATATTATCTTTCTGAATCATCTAATGAGCAATAAGTCATGTAGCTTTAACTAAAGAAGAAATCATACTACAAGTAGACAAGAAGACAAAGAAATAATCATAAGGATAATAGTACAGAAATACAAAAAGTTTGTGCCAAGAAGTTATAAACATACTTGAGAAACTAGAAATATAATTCAACAAAAGATATTCATGCTAGCGAGTAATCTACCTGCAAGTTAAAAGATGTATAAACAACTCTAAAGCATAAAATTTATCTCAAACAACTTTAGATAAATATTTTATTCATCTTAAACCTTTAATGTAACATAGCATATATATTTTTTTTGTAATATATAGATAATTATTACTATGTGGAGGTAACTTTTCTTAAGACGAGAATTAAAAATATTATAACTTATTACAATATAGAGTTTATTCTTATTTATAACTATCCCAAATTGGGAATTGAATTTTTTATGACTATGTAGAGTTTATTCGTATATAGAGTATCACTATAAAGAGGTTTTACTATATATATATTGTCATTTTCTCTCTCCTATTATTGACTTACTTCCATTTCTTTTATTTTGTTCATCTTCGTTGCTTACTTTTCTTTTACTATGTTAGTCACTCATTTCCATTTCTTTTATTCTATTCGTCCCTCATCATCAGGGGCGGATCCAGCCCATTTTTGGGTGGGCCATGGTCCACCCTCAAATTTCTTTTTTTAAATATTAACATATATCATTTTTGGATTTTGGCCCACCCTAACAAAAATATTAATTGACAAAAATATTAATATATAATTAGTTTTTATTTTGCCCACTCTAAAAAAATTTTCTGGATCCGCCACTGCTCACCATGACTATCTCTTTTTACTGACTTTCATCTCTCTGATTTTATTCGTCACTCACTATGGCCGAACAATGTAATAGTATAGGTGTGCTTGGAGAAATTGATTTAAATGTTCTTCCAACATTAGAAGCTACGAATGACGTTGATGACATAACCGAGAAGGTTAATATACAGGTGTGCAAGGGCAGCCACTTCACGTTTGAGAATCTCAATAACCTAAACAAAAATGCAACTTTATCTTTAAAAAAAAAAAAAAAAAAAAAAGGAAAGGTTACAGAGTACACAAGAGATCATAGCATACATGCTTTTAATTGAAAGGTGATTTCTTCATTTTTGCAGGCTCTACAACCTTAGTAGATAAAGAGAGAAAGGAGATGAGTGGTGGAATAGAGAAAGAGAGAAACGGGACATTGGTGATAGAAAATGTGGAAGAGAGGAGATAGGGAAGAGATAGCGAAAAAGAGAAAGGAGATGTGGGCTATAGAAAAAAGTAGAGAGAGAAGATGGAGGCAGAGTAGAAAAAGAAGATGTGGGTGATGGAAAATGTGGAAGAGAGGAGATGAGGGAAAGAGATAAGATAAAGAGAGAGAGAAGAGATGTGGGCTATGGAAAAAAGTGGAGAATGGAGATGTGGGTTAGAGACAAGACAACGTCATTTAATTTGAAAAAAATTTACACCCTCAAAACATATTTATAAAAAAACAGAGGGAGTAAGATTTAGTACTTATAAAAGTATAACATTTATGAAAAATTAGTTTATTATTTAGTTTGAAAATAGTTAAAAAGAGTTTTATAGTCTTAAATTAAAAAAATAAGAAGCTTTTATATACCACAAAGTATAAAGTCAAATTTATAAAATTATATAGGGTGAATTTTAAAATTTTAACACTTTAAATATATTAAAAAAGAGCTCATGGAAGAAGATTAAATTTTTAGTTTTTTTTTTTTTTTCAAAAGACGTAAATAACTTATTGTAAATCGTATAAACACTTTTGAAATGTAATTGCAATTATTAGTTTTAGAATTTAATTAAACCGAAATAAAAATATATATATTTTTTTTTGTTTTTTTGTTTTTAAGTTGATTTGAACGTGCCACATCTTTTGTTTTTGTGGGTTTATGCCACATCACATGTATCCCATGACACTGTTAAAAACGGACAGTTAACCCCAACAGGCAACAATACACACCACCTGCCGGTAGTTTGAGCGATTAAATTTGAAATTAACCGTATATGACCTTCACAATTACAAAGGTACCCTTAGATTTTTGTTAACTTGACTAATTTATCCTGTAAAAATTATATTTAAATTACATTATAATTATTAAAAAAATAAATATTTTTTTTCTTAATTATGCAATTATTTGAATTATAAATATTTTGTGGAATATTACGTATGTAATATAACGCAGAATTTAACCACTTACCTCCAGCCATATTGTTCAAGTGTTGTAGAAGCTAAAACGTGAATAATTTGTGAGTGAATGTTTGAGAGATGTCTTCTAGCCTATGCCTCCTCCAGAACCTTTTCTTCCTTTTTGTATTTTCGTGATATCTTTTTGATGGAGAAGATGATATCTTTATATATGGCTAGGCTCGGGACCAAGTAACTCCCATCAACTGCCTTTAACCTCCCATCAAGGATCAAAAGAGGCAGTTAATAACTCTTTTAAACTAGGGGTGGAAAAAAAAACCTGAAAATCGAATCGGACTGAAAATTCGATTTTTTTTGGGTTTCGGTTCGATTTCGATTCGGATATTAAAAAAAACCAAATATCCGATTCGGTTTTTGACAAAATTAATTCTGGTTACCCGGAACCGGTTTTATGAACCGAAATTTTAAAAAAATTATTGCATTTTACGTTTTTTATTTTGCAATTCCTAACACAGTCTAACACTCACTCACTTCAGTCTTCAGTCTTCACTACTCCAGTCTCCAGCTCGAAAGCTCCACTGCTCCAGTACAGATCTCAGACTCACTCGCACTGGCGTCGGTACTCAGACACTCCTCAGTAACTCTCAGTCTCTCACACTCTTAGAGTCTCAGTGACTCAGTCTCAGTCTCTCACTCTCTCTTGGACTCTCATTGTCTCTCACTCTCAGTTCTCACTTCTCACGTCGGAGTCACGCGGTCACGCCTCAGCCAGTAGCCACACAAATTTCTCACGTTGCTCACGCCACCGATCTTTGCTCACGCCGCCGATCTTTGCTCACCGATCTGTTGCTTAACGGTCGGCAGTCACCAGTCGCGGTCACCATTCTTCTTCCTTCACCAAGTCTCCATGTTGTCGTCTGTTTCCGATGGGTGACCTTATCTCTTTGGCTTTTTTCTTTGTATTTGTTGGTGACCTCGCCCATGGCTCAGATATTTGATGTCTTGTAAATTTTTTTTTTTAATTATTCTTCTTGTTATGTGTATTTGTTAGTTAGAACTTAGAATGAATGATCTATCATGGAAAAGAAATTGAAGGTAAAGGTGGGAGGGTCTGGCCGTGTGGGTTTTGCTTGTTTATAAAGGGTGGTGAATGCAAAGAAAATTTTATACATAGTGGGAAAATTGCACTGAAGATTCTGAAAAAAAGTAGGAAGATGTTCTGGACAAGTTGCAGTAACTAGTACTTTGAGGAAGGCATAGGCCGTCAAGAAGGTTGAGG